AAAGGATTTGCCACTGACAATTCAAACGTGAGTTTTGAGCAGTGTAAAGTAGCGCTTATTGTTCGTCATTTCTCCGATCACACATGCAGACATGGTTTTATGTTTACTCAGCGCGATACGCAACGCGTAAAAAGACAAATGCCTAATTTATAATGGGTTTTAATGTTTTTGTCTCATCTCTCCGGCCTGGACACGGCATCACAGTATGGTGAGGGGCGTAACATTTCTGTCACATGCTTGACGTATTCGGCCAATCACAACGCACTGGATAGCTGGCCAATCAGAGCACACCTCGCTTTTCAGACCGATGAGCTTTGTAAAAATCGACGCGTTTCAGAAAGGCGGGGCATAGAGGAGAAACAATAATGTACATTATGTGGAAAATAATGTTTTTTGAACCTTAAACCGCATAAACACATTTCATTACACCAAATACACAAAATAATGTTCTTTTTAGCAACGTCATATGACCCCTTTAATATTAATTTGAGTAACATTTTAAACAATTTGTACATTTGTTTTTCCAACAATAAAACAGTTCCAACCGATGTCAAAGTACATGCCTTCAAGCAACACATTGCAGAGATGTTTCATTCATGAAACTAATCAGTGTTTCTGAACAAATACTTTGAATATTTCAAAGACTCATTCACAAAAGACAGTCACTGTTTTCTTATGTGAATGAATCAGTGCTTTTGAACAAATCACTTGAATGAATAATTCAATGACTCACTCTATTGTTTCTTTCCTGAATAAATTGGTGTTTTTCACTAATTGGTTGGGTGAACACAAAGACAGTCAGCTGTCGCCACCTACTGGCATATCAACACTGTAAAAAAAAATCCGTAAAATTTACGGTAAAAAACCGGCAGCTGTGGTTGCCGGAATTCTACCGTAAAAAATACGGTAGCAACGTTTTAGGTTTTATGGGTTTAACTTAAATTTACAGTTAAATACCGTAATTTCATTAACAGATATAATGTACATCCTATTGAAGTACTGAAATCTGTTTTGTACCTTTGTAATACACTGACAACCACCAAATGCAGGTGGTGATGAGAAAGTCACATGATGAACCAAAGCCTATCACAAGCAGCTTTTAAATAATAACATATATAGAAGGTGCACAGTGTCATTCACACAAACACTAAACACCATCATGGTAACACACATGAAACTGACTTTTACCGTTAAATTCACGGTCATTTTTTACAGTGAATGTAACCTGCAGAAAGAGTCGCTGTAAAATCGTCACCACTAATGCACAGACTGACAGACAATCACAAACAAGAGGAGTGATAGAAACGGTGCTGATGGACTGTATTTCAGCACTCCTGAAATGCTGCTCAACCAAACAGATTCGAAGACTAGAAGCAACTGTTGTATACAAGAGTTTTTATTCCTGTCTGTGTCGGCATCCCGTATAATTCAATACAATGTTTTGCATAAAAAAGATTGTGTACAAATAACTGTAGGCTAAAAAACCCTTAATAACTCTAAACAAACGTGACAGCACTTAGCGCAGGAAATATTACGAAAAACTGGAGAAATACAAAGTGCGGTAACGAGGGGAGTGTGCGGTTACCCACAAATGGTAGATTAAAAATGCTTTTGCAAGTTTTATGTGCATTATCAGTGCAGCAGTAAACACCTGTTCACTTAAAAAAATATGATTGATGGGGCTCTGAAAGTGCTGTTACTCATAGTTGTTAAAATATATGTGTGCTTACAAAGTGGCATAGACATGAGAATGAAAGGCAAGGCTGTAGGTACCTGTCTGTCAGCTGCTGAGGCAAGCAGCGTTTTCCCAGAGAAGGCAGGTCAAGTGTGTCTGGTTTTTTATCCAGGCGACATGCCTGCAGGTTTAAATACTTAAAGATGTGGATATTTCCCTTTAGGCAGACCTGAAAGCAAAGAAGAAAATTAATCACAGAACTGTCAAGGTGGGACAATACAAAACAGCAGAGAGATTACAGCCTCTCTAAAAAGTCTTCAGACCACTTATAAACAGACACACTACCATTAGTTAGAATTATTTTAAAGAAATTAATACTTTGATTCAGCAAGGATGCATTAAAGGATTAGTACACTTCTGGAATAAAAATTGTCTGATAATTTACTCACCCTCATGTCATCCAAGATGTTCATGTCTTTCTTCAGTCGCAAAGAAATTAAGGTTTTTGAGGAAAACATTCCAGAATTTTTCTCCATATAATGTATAAAAGTATATACATTTTTATGTTTTTTAGAAAATGGCCAATCGTTTCACTAGATAAGACCCTTATTCCTCGGTTGGGTTCGTGTAAAGTCCTTTGAAGCTGCACTGCAATTATAGGACCTTCACTATAATTGGACTTTGGAAGTCCATTATATAGAGAACAATCCTGGAATGTTTTCCTCAAAAACCTTAATTTGTTTGCGAATGAAGACAGAAAGTCATGAACATCTTAGATGACATGAGGGTGAGTAAATTATCAGGAAATTTTTATTCTGGAAGTGAACTACTTTAAATTGATCAAAAGTGACACTAAAAAGTTATTTTTTGCTGTCTAACAGTATAAAACATTTATTTTAAATTGTAATGATATTCCACAATATCTCACCAACCACAAACTTTTGAACAGTAGTGTATATGTATACATAAACATGCATACATACAGACATTATGTTAAGCCAATTCTCATTCTCATGTAAATATTTACATTCAGTGCAATGCAACAATTTATTTAAGATTGGATTTATGTTCATTTCACACAGAAATCTGTTTGTTTCATTAATATAATAATAAGATATATATATAATAATAAAAGTCAACAAAGCCACAGACTGGTGTCTACCTGTACGTGCACACACTTTCTCTCTGGGGGTATTGCCAAGTAATTTCCAAGGAAAACTACACATTCTGTAGATAATTTCAGTAACAGGAAGGACTGGCTGTCCTCCGAATCTGCGTGTCGCAGCAAGACGAGCCATTGTAAAAGATCTTTTGTTATCAACAGACCGAAAAAAAAACATCTTTATCAGTATTTTGTCATTTTCTGTCAAAAACATTTAACTAAAATGAAAAGTAGGAAGGAAAAAAAACCTTCTCAACATCTCGCATCTGAGCTATTGTTTCCTAAAACGTAAGGACAACATATTCTGATGAGATTAAATCTGAACTTTCAGACCACTGTACTTTGATAACACTGAGGCTAGAACAACGCAGTCCTGCACACCATCACATTTGCACATTTTTATTTTATTTACAGCCCACAGCCATATACAGGAGCCATGTACCTTTCAAACCAGAGCAACACTGGAGTAACCTGGGCTAAGTGCATTGCTCAAGGGCACAGTGTGATGGCTCAGTAGTTGTGAACACAGCACCTAGGCAATGTGGGCTTGTGATTACTTTTCTACAGAAAAAAAAAAAGATTTACAGGAAAATAGACATAACTACATAGAGAAAATTCTTAAGTAGCCCTCAGGATATTGTGATATGAAAAGAATACAGGAAAATGTGTGTAATCATTCTGGGGTTATTTTGTAGGTAGTGAATCTGCATAGAAAATAAAAATACTGAAAAAAAAAAAACGTTTTTTTTTTTTTGAGTGTGGACCATTCTTTTAGAGCTGAACTATTTGGGGAGGAAAATTAGGTGTTCACACTTGGTTATATATATTCTTTACAAGAACCAACTCAAGCCTCTTTCATCGAACACAAAAAAATATTTTCCCCATTGTTTTTGACCCATTAAATAATATTTTATGATTTTTATTGTAATTATTATCAAACATTTTAAATAAATCAAGAAATATATTGTAATGATATTATACTGTAAAAAAATTGTATTTAATCAAATAATAGAAATATTATTTAACAGTAACAGTAAATAACAGTAACAGTAAAACTGTACAATTATAATACCAAAATTTACATATTAATTTCTTCCTTTTCAAACATTAAATTATCAAGCTTTTTAGCGTTTTTTGGCACTCTGAAACTGCAGCACATTTATTTAATTCAATTGCAGCCTTTGTGATTTAATAATCACACTAAGCCATACTATGATATTGACTTAAATTCATCTTCCAAATAAATTATAAGTTACACAAAAAGAAACGGTAACACTGATAACACTGTAATACTGCATCCCAGTCAAAGCCTTTTCCACTGCAATTCATTTGACCACAGGTGTTATGCACTCTTTTTGTGTTTGTGTGGTATATATATATATATATATATATTTGTTTTTGTTTTTTTTTTGAGGGGATTATTCTTGGCTCATGTGGCACCTTAGGTGAGATATGAACAAAGAAAAACACTATCATCATTATTGCATCAATACACCTGATATTTTAGGGATTTTCCATTGGCAGCCACTGGATGGCGCCAACAGAAAAGAAATAAACAACAGACAGTAACAGCATTGAAAAATCTTCAGCTTCAGCTCAATACATGTGAAGAGATAGACAGCAACAGAGGAGTACAGGCACACCTGGGCAGGAGGAGACTGCATGGGGTTGTTGTCAAGAATGATGTGCTGTAACTGCTTAAGTTTGCGGTAAGATATGGGAATCTCAGTGATTTTATTACAGGAGAAATCCAACCTGATCAACGGCAGATCGGACAACTCTGTGAGAAAGAAAATAAAGAAATATATAATGGGAATTTCCGTCCTAACTCATGGTATTAACATAGCTAGTATACACACTAAATGTGCTTAATGTCAGTGTATATACAGCAAAGATTTTGTCGTTTTATCTGATTGATGCTTTTGTTGACTGTGTTTGTTGATGCTGTGTTGTGTATGTGTCTATACCATCTGGTAACACTTGTAGACAATTTCTTCGTATGTTAAGTTCTCGTAATGCGAGGAGTTTCCCCATTTGAGCAGGAAGCACCTGGATCTCATTACAGCTGATGTCCTGAACATAGGAAACACATATACTGTAAACAAACATCACAGAAGCACAGACATTATTATATACAATACAATCACGCATGTATTTCCACACACTGACCAATTCCATGAGGTCTTTGGCCTTTCCGATCTCTTCAGGAATAGACGGGAGTTTATTGTTGCTGACCACCAGTACTTTCAGAGGAAGATTGAAGAGAAACTTGGGGAGAACGGACAGCTGATTTCGACTGAAAACACAAGGATTGGATTCAATAAATACACATTTCATCCTCTATCATTTTCTCTAATGAGAGAACCCACAGAACAACTGAAATCAATTAAACCCCTTACAGTTGCTGGATGATAGCAACTACCATTCTGCAAAGGACTCGTGTCTCTCATGTTGACCAAGGCTGCATTTATCTGATCAAAAATATAGTAAAAACAGTAGTATTGTGAAATATCATTACAATATTTAAAATAACTGTTTTCAATTTGAAAATATTTTAAAATGTCATTTATTCCTGTGATGACAAAGCTGAATTTTCAGCATCATTACTCCAGCCTTCAGTGTCACATGATCCTTCAGAAATCATTCTAATATGCTGATTTGCTGCTCAAGAAACATTTACTATTATTATCAATGTTGAAAACAGTTGTGCTGCTTAACATTTTTGTGGAAACCTTTCAGAATTCTGTGATGAATAGAAATGTCAGGGTCTGACGTCTGGTGTTTCTCCCTCTCACCACCAGAGGTCGCCATTTCCCATCCTCCCGGACTCCTTTACCTTCACTCCACTCACCTGTTCTCTCATTACCTTATTATTGAATTATTTGTCCCAGCTGTTTACCTGATTGCCTCTCCCTTATAAGCTCCCTGTGTTTTCTGTTCTGGGCTCGTTTGTCTCACATAGGTGTCGGATCATGCCTTTGAATTGTGGCTGCCCTGTGCTCAGTTTATGTCTCGTGGTGAGCTTTTATGTTACTCTGGCTTTTTCCCCTTCGGGGTGGTTTCAGTTGTGTTTATGGTTTATTTTTGGGAGTTATAAATAAAGACACCCCATCTGCCTGCACTTGAGTCTTCGCCTCTTTCGAACTGTGACAAGAAAGTTCCAAAAAACAGCATTTATTTTAAATAGAAAACTTTTGTAACATTATGTAATGTATTTATTGTCTTCAAAAAACCTTGAAGTCAAACATGCTTAAATGGTAATATTTACATTGTAATAATATTTGACAATGTTATTGTTTTTACTGTATTTTTGATTAAATAAAACATTAGAACAATGGTGTATTTTTCACCAAATTGCCAGTGTTCAATCAGGGTTTAAAACTACTTGATTTAAATCCATTTCTATGAGTCCACGATACATTTAAATGCAGTTAAAATAATTTTTTTTTTACAGCTTGAACAATGATAGTTGGTATGGAAGCCAGAGGCCAATGTAGTCTTAGAAATAGATCAGTATAATGAGATGTCAAAGTGAGTTAACAGACAAAGACATCATAGTTGTCACGATACGCTACTGTGAGGAGCTCGGAGTGAGGAACAAGGAGACGTGGCGTAGACTTCAAACAAACAAACTTTAATTAACATCCATGGAACCAGGAACACTCACGTAGCGGGGAAGGACGAACAATACTGGACAAAGAAACTAGGAACCGAACTCACATTAAATACACTTGACTTCACGAGACACACCTGGGAGCAATAAACAATCAAACACATGGGAAAACTAGGTCAGCGCAGGCACATGGAGGGGGAAAAACACACAGATAGAGTCCAGGGGCGTGACAATAGTGTGGGTATTACCTGATGTTCAGGTAGGTGAGCATCTGTAGGTTGATAATGGTCTCTGGAACCACCTTTATGCAGTTGTGGTAGAGGTTTAATGACTCCAGTGGCGCAAACGTACAAACTTCTGGAGGGATTTCACAAAAATGGTTTTTCGAGAAGTCTATAAAGAAAAAAGATAAATCAGATAAGTCAGTTTAACACACCAGATGAGATCAATAGAAAGATACAGAGACACATATTTACAAACTAATTATGCATGCTAGTGTACCACACATCCAAACAAAAAGTTTGAAGCCCTGTTACTCAGAACTACTGTCTACAAGAGAAAATAATTGAGTTATTGGATAATTAACTGGTTGATTAGTCTGATCTATAGGAGTTTCACCTTATCAGACATTGACAAAGCAGCAGTGTAACACACACACACAGAACAAGAGAGAAAGAGCGAATGGGGGGGGGGGGGGTTATTGATTTGTTAAGGCAGTACATATCATTCAGATGCAGTGAGAAGAGCTCTGTCACTAGCTTTGCTTATGTGACACCTAATATTAAAACTGAGATTGAAGACAATGAAATGACATGAAAACGTGGGGAATGTGACCACACAACCCCATGTTGTGTTTTACATTGAGCAAATGTGTATTTAAATGCAACTACACAACAGTTAGTTCTAGTCCTTGAATCTGATTGGTCGAGCTGATATACAGTTCAACAGCACTGGGAGGTTTCTTTGTATGTGTCACTGTACTTGACTGTGTTTGCATGTTCGAAACAGACTGTCAGTCTGGGGTTTTTCAGTGACTCTTCCTGCTGTCGTTATGCCAGTAGGTGGCAATAAGTGACGAATTATTCTCCACTGATTTGTTCAAAACCACTGATTCATTCACAAACCAATGTGTGTAACTCAGTGGTTGATCTTACTTTGGCTTCACATTGGGACCATTTTGACTGGAAGAAAAAAGAACTGCATGAAATATCAGCCCTCATCCTCAAATCGACATCAATCTCAAGCTTCAACCAATTAGAACTGAGTTATCATTACCATAGTGTTGCCATGGGAGCAGACATGCATGCAGAAGAAAAGTCATGTCAACTTCCTCTATCATTTATATCCTCTTTGAAAAGAGAAAGAGTGTATGTGAGAGAAATATAAAATAATGTAGCTATGTCAAAGCAGACAGAAAAAGCAGTAAGACAAACAGAAAGGGATTGATTTCATTTTAGAGACCTTTTGAGCACATTAGATATCACATCTTTCAGAAGTTTGAGGCCAAATGCCAGCAAATAACTTTTATGGACTTGGCACTTCTCAGCCAATGAGACTTGAGCAGAGAAAAAAAAACATATTTGACTGTGTGCAGCTGAGGTTGCCAACCTGAAGCTGTGCTGCCTGGCAACCATAGATATGTATAGATAGATGCCCTATTAGCAGCTGTTTCTATGGGCCGCTATACGTAAGCCATCCGCCATATTAGAATGTCAAAGCCGGTCCGTGAGCACTCGAGAGCAATGCCGTTGCATCTGCACTGCAACTGTAGTTATACACAAATTTTTATCCATTAGGGCTGGACCAGAATATTCGATTATTCGAATATTCGTTCGGTGGGTTGGCATTCGATTTTCAATTTTGAGATTCGAATATTCTTTTTTTTTTTTTCGAACACCTGGCACGGTTCTCATTCTCATTCTCATATTGAATATGAATCGCCCATGAGTGAACGTCATGAACGTCATGATTCAGTTCATCTGGAAGAGAAGACAAAAATGCCCAAGACCTCAGCTGTGTGGGAGCACTTTAAGTTGAGTGAGGACAAGAAAAAGGCAGTGTGCAGAATATGCGATTTGAAACTGGCCTACCACAACAGCACATCAAGTTTGAAAAATCACCTGAGTTCTGTAAGTAGTAGGCTACGTCTATAGTATATTGTTGGTGTAGAAAAACGAGCTGCTTTTATCCGCCATGTTAATCAGTAATTATACACATGATAAAAACGTGCACTTAATTTGCTTGGAAAATACTTGCGAATACGGCAGTCATAAAAAAAAGTACAGAAGCCCAGCCTAATAATAATTTGTCTATATTAAAAGTATTGCTCTTAACAGACCTGTGTGTTTTGCATCAGTAGTGCAGTGTCCGTTCTCGGAGCATATAAACCCTGCCGGCTTGAGGCATGCCGCTTCCGGCTCGCGCTGTTCAGTAGTTTATTAAAAGTTGATTAATTCTGAACGTGTGGCGTGTCCATATTGCACCAAAATGCGACACTGCACTCCCTTGGGTCCGCAGCAACACACCAGCAACAGTTAAAGTCTGTCTACACTGGACGCGACGAAGCGACCGTTGAAAATCATTTGAAATTTGTGTCAGTAAATAAATAGAATGCAGCAGCAGTTTACTGTCGGGAATTTGTTGCGCCACGCCGCGCCGCATCCAGTGTAGACAGCATGTATTTTGTCGCGGCGCGGCATCCGGTGTAGACACGTGTTGAGAGAATAATATGTTCAGCCCCCTCCCTCCGAAGCTTCGAATATTCGGTGTTGATTTCTACAGAAGCTTCGAAGCTCAAAAAAATGGTATTCAGACCCAGCCCTATTATCCATATCTTCAGGAGACTTCGGAAGATGCTTTTGCTAAACTAAGACAATACAACAAGATGAAGCTGTTAGCTAACAAGGCATTTAAATGGTACTTTAGTTTAAAAACCTGTAATATTGAGTTAATACATATTAAAAACCCAAACCAACACATTCTTACCTGTGAAAGTTGATTTAAATTTAGGTAGCTTTTACAACCAGATGCTGAACAATGCATCTTGAAACTCATTGATTTTTATTGTGAGTGACCACATATAGACAGTTCCAAGATGGCGGACGCGTCAAAGTGTCGGGAGAGGTCGAATGTGGAATCTACCTATAAATATCTATGCTGGCAACTATTACAGACTGAAGCAGTGTTGCCTGGCAACTGTTACAAACCCAAACTGTGCTGACTCCACCTCAGACATTCCTCTTGAACAACCTTCAGTAGGCTGATAAGAGAGCAGAGCAGGTGGAGCATGCTCATGTTAGTTCAGCAGCTGGGCTTCAATACAGTTGCATGTCAACAACAAGGTCGTACATTATCAACATTATTCACACATTTCTGTAACATATGGACAAATCAGACACATTATTATTTGTTATATTTAACAAATAATCCAACAGACCCCTCACCCAACAATCGGGCTGGGTGCCGGGATGTCTGTGAACCAATGTTCCCTCTAATTTTTTTCTTGCTGAGCAAAACATTTCTCTATGGGCGGACATTTCTGCCACCTGAGCAAAAACTTTATGTATATCAGACCTGTACAGCGCACACACAAAAAAGTGTGAAACTTTTAACTTGAATGTGCTATTTATATTTTATTTGACTCTTGATGTAACTAATTGATGCACATTTTAGGTTTCCTGAGAAAACATTTTTACATTGCTGTGTTACTTACCAAGAAATTCTTTTTAAAAAATCATGTAAAAACTCATGCAGAAGTTTCAATTCTTTATTATAATATAATATAATATGAAAAAATGAAGCAGTTATTGCTCATGAATTGTGCCCATCATCCGCTATTTCCACCACTTAATCAAGCCACTCTTCTTTAAAACATGATGATATTTTATTTCACTAAATAATATTTTATTTATGTCACTGCGTTTGCATTAGCTCTCGTGTTGAGCTATTTCGTCTGCAACTACTAAAATATTCGATTTCTACGGCGACTCATTTGGCGCACATCATTCTCTTTCTATGAAACCTGCAAACCGCATTCACCAGTTCTATTGCGACACCAACTCTACAGCGGTTTGTCCGAGCATTGCAATTATTTTGCATTTACTAGAACTCAATCAAATGGCTTCCCCAACTCATTTCTGCACCTGTCCTTTGCGCGGCATATTACTTCTTTAGCGCGGTCTGAAGTGTGTGCAGCTTAGAGGGAACATAGCTGTGAACGACCCCCCAGGACACTGGTTACCATGGCAGCCAGGATACCTCAGCCAGATAAAATAACTTTTGTGGCCCCATGGAATTCCGAGTTGTACTCTCACTTAATTCACTGTGAAACAGACACATACTGCCTACAGAAAAGGACTTATTTCAGTAATTCACAGACAAACCCTTCTATGAATGAACATTCACATCCCCAGGTCATTGTGTGTATTATTACTGTTCTTGTATTGTCTTTTCTATTGCATACTGTTTTATGCATGCTTTATGATAGAATTATTACATGATGTAACCCTATTGGTGCCACTTTTGATATCAAAATAACCCTTGTTTAGTCCACCATCCACTGGTGCATACCATGTCCTCATAACATTCACTGTATGCTCGTTATATCAATCAGAGTATAAGGGACAAACTGCCTGCCCACTCTGATCATGCAAATGAGCCAGCTTTCAAACAAAGGGTCGTAAACTTTCCCTCCAAAAGTTTAAGTTACCATTGGCTCACTGACCCCCTGGAGGTGTGACCTTGCCACAAATTAAAAGGCCTCACATCCATGACATGCTCTTCGTGATCGCAATTCCACCACAAACCATCAAGACTTTCATCCGAGACTACATCCGGACACTCATTCAACCGCCCAGTATCATACATTTAACTAAATGAAACAGAGGTTTAGTATAAGCTGTAGACCCCATTTTTTTGTCCATACAATGGAAGTCCAAAACTGTTTGGTTACCAACATTTTGCAAATACCTTCTTTTGTGTTTCGCAGAAGAAATAAAGTCATACTGGTTTGGAACAGCATGAGGGTGAGTAAATGATGACAGGGTTTCCATTTTGGATGAACTATCCCTTTAAAGGGTTAGTTCACCCAAAAATTAAAAATAGGCTGTGTTTTACTCACCCCCGAGGCATCCTAGGTGGTATTAGGACCATGGAAACTAAAATACACAAATATGCACCAAATCGTCAAAAATTGTGCAGGGCTTTTACTGTGTTTATGGCTTTTACTGTTTTTACAATTTTAGGCGCGCCACCGAAGACAAATCTACTATGCTTGTCCGTGTTCCACTCGGACCTCGCGCGCAGAAAACATCCAGTCAGAAGCGGATTGAGTTCTGTTTCGCGGCTTTGAGTTTTTAATACTGTCTGTCTTTTTAATATCAAGAATGTCCCGC